TGCGGCGACTCAGTTCTGTTACAAGCACCTGTCTCTTTTTATCTTTATTGTCTATAAAATTATCGGAAGTATTCAAATAGTCAAAGTCGAGTGATCGTGAATTGAGTAATAAAATCACTGAATTCCCAACGATCATATACATATACCTATACGAGTACTCGTAGTTGGTGTGCTGTATGTAACTGCGATATTATAAAATAAAATCACATAGTAACTTAATATTACTATGATTTTATTTTATTAAATGAAGATTTTTGTCTTATAATATAACTGACTCACCCTCGCTTCGCTCGTGTTCGTCCCTAGGTACGTTTTAACGGTTAGTAAGAAATAGACTATATATTAGTATATATACATAGGTATGATGAGTTTTATATCTCTTACTCGAGAAATAATTGGTTCCCCATACAAACATTCATCCCCCTTTTCACCCCCCTTAAAGGATGATCTGGGATAAAAAGTATCCTATGTCCTTCCGAGGGTCTCGAACTATCTTCATACCAAAGTTCATCTATAACAGTTCAGCGGATTTTTATTTCTTAGTTTATCCATTACAAACAAACTTACAAACTTTACCTCTTTATAATATTAGTGTAGATAAAGTAATTTCTATTTTTAAATTAATTTAATATTAATTTACAATGTTGTACGCAGACACTTGCGTCTTTAATGTTTATTTTCGATATATTTATACAATAACATTTTTTCAGAGTCGAATCTGTACATTAAATATTTTTTGGAAAATCCTTTTCAAAACACTCATTATTATCGATACAGAAGCCGAATCTATAGTTTTTAGAATTATTGTCTGTCTGGGAACGCTTCACGGGAAAACCACTGGACGGATTTTGATGAAATTTGATATAGAGATAGCTGGTTATCAGGGTCAACATATAAGCTACTTTTTACTGCGGAAAAGCGAGCGAAGCGACGGTGAGTTGTAGTCTTCTATATTAGTATTTTTAGGGAAGTTCCTAAAAATCGACTAAGGCGCCGTGATAAAGCCTAGGTACCTACTTATGTTATTTTTCGGCTGATAAACAATATTATACACATTTTTAAACACAAAATATAAATATAAACACCCATGACTAGAGTACACAGCAAGTAGGGTCACTACAAACTGAGCCAAACATGTCGTCAAAAATATATCTATTATTATCTATTATAATATCTCTATTATTAGTTTTTTTTTATTAATAGGTGGATTTTTATGTTTTAGTTCAAGAGTCGTTTTATTTTCATAATCAAAAAGTAAGAACGATCCCGACTATTTATATTTTTTATGTATTTTAAACACATTGGGACGGAATATAGTTGTTAAAGAATTGTAGTAGTAGGGACACGCACGCGATACGAAATACCAATTCGTACGATGTATTAGGACAATATTTAAAGTCTGACATTTTATCTAATTGTTAGTTTCAAATCTTATAATATAAAATGAGTAATTTTTGTATATTTACGAGAGAATTTCTTGTATCTCGAAAACGGTTCTAACGATTGGATCAAATTTTGCATTTAGATAAGGGTTTTCTTTTTAAGTTTATCTATATGGGTACCTAGTCTAAAAAACACAATTTTTAAATCTTTTCCGAAAAAACACGATTTTACAAAAAAAACGCCGAGCGAACCTCGTCTGTCCAGGTAATATACTAATGCCACTACATAATATAATGACGTGGCTCTTAAGTAACATAAAAAGTCTTAAGTGATAAAAAAAATAGTAGTTTTATATATTGTATTCAGCCCTTTTTTTAACGTCGCACTGCTGGGCACGGGGGCTTCAATACGAGGGGGATCAGGCCATAGTCCACCACGCTGGCCAAGTGCGGGTTGGCGGACTTCACATGTCTCTCGAAAACTTGCTAGGTTCTCTCAGACATGCAGGTTTCCTCACGATATTTTCCTTTACCGTAAGGCAAGCGGTAATCATGTTAGAAATGATTCGCACATGATAATATCAGAGGTGCGAGACCCGAGATTTGAACCCGCTTCACTCGGTGTCCCAAGCGAGCGCGTTACCACTGGGCTACCACTGCCTCTCGTTTTATATATAAATAATTTAAATATGATTCTTGCGAAATGAGACTAAACATAATATTCCCACAAACTAATCAACTTTTTGCTCTATACAAAACACATTTATTAATTATCTATTCATTACCTACTTTAAATTTTTAAAAGTTTAATTTTTTTTAGTTATTCTAACAATATGTGCACCCTACACAACGCCTTGCCGATTGCTATCGATGACAAAGTTACGACTGCATATCGTTAAGTATTTATTACAAATGAAATTGACTTCTACGTCTATTTGTTTAAGGTTTATATTAAAAGGTTTTGTGTTATTGGTAGCATTGTTGACTTTCCCCAAGACATTTCGATTTTTGTATTGTCTTGCATTAAATGGATTGTATGAATGTATAAAGTCTTGACACTAGCTTTTTTTGGGGCGTCACTTAATATTTGATCTTTTTAATAATTGTAATTTTTTGTGTTAAAAAATAAAGATAATTCATTTGAAATTACTAGATCCATAAATTAAACCTAATAAGGTTGCAAAATTTTTAAAAGAAAATTGTAGGTTATTGAAAATGCATGAAACGTTAGATTTTCTTATAGTTATTAACCTAGGTTTCAATTATTATTGTAGCATAATAGACAGTTAAGAATAAACAAATATTAAACAATTGTATATGTACGTCATTTGTGTAATAAAAAATACCAAAATTTGGGAGTGAGTGTTTTTGCTACTTTTCCACACTGTAAGTTGGAACGGCCAAACGAATTTCAGTTTCTGAACGCAGCTTATATTTTAAATTAACATATAGACTACTTCCATCAATATTAATTATTAAGAGAACTGTTAAAACTTATAAATAAGTAGAGTAAACACTCTTAATAACTATATATAAAAATCTATGTGTGTGTGTATGTATATATATATACATATATATATAAAAATCTATGTGTTTGTATGTCCCCTATAGACTCCAAAATGGCTGGAGCTATTGATGAAATCGCCATTGATTGCGGGCAATCTTCAGATTAGCCCAGCGGATACTGTGAAGTTTGGTAGTGATGGGAAGTTTGAACGCGGGTAAAGCCACGGGTTATACTAGTTTCCTTATAAATACGACAGTTAACGACGATCATAATTAAACAGTTATTTAACAAGTCACTGGAAAGTATCAATGCGCTAATAAGCCGTGTGTGACCCGCCTGTCTTATCTATCACATCTGGCCTCCCCTAATGAATATTAACTAATAACAAACGTAAAGTGAAGTGGGAATTATTTCTATTTGTATGAGTCATTTCTATGTCACGTAATGATTATATATTAGCGAAGAAATGGGGACCCGAAATTTATGATCGATCTTGACCAACACTTGCCAAGTACTAATTTGGTATGTAAATTAAAAATATAGACTAGTTAAAGCCATTGGTTTTGGTTGACTAAATATAATAATACTAATAGGAATAACTAGCGATTCACACTCGATTCGCTCAGGTTCGTCCTTAGGTACGTTATGACGCTTAGTATGGAATATATAAACTAAATATGTAGTTTATACATAGGCATGATGAGTTTTATATCCCTTAGGAGAAATGATTGATCCCCCATATAAGCTTCCACTGCCCTTTCCGTCCTCTTAAGGGATGATTTCCGGTATAAAAACTATCACATATCCTGCCCAGGGTAGGAAACTATCTTCATACCATATTTCATCTAAATCGGTTCAGCGGATTAAGCGTGAAAAGATTACGGACAGACAGAGTTACTTCCGCATTTATAATATTAGTATGGATTAGTGAAGTTATTATAAAACATAAATTTTAATAATATTTTTAATGTAAATTGTACAAAACTAACTAAACCTAATGAGTTTTTTATTAAAAATTTAAAAATAGTGTTGTCAAGTGACCACAAGTCGATGAAATCGATTCTTGGGGTTCGTGCTTTTAGTCTTGTTTGCATATCGCACGAAACTCGCACTTATCATGTTTATTGATTGACACGCCAGTAATTCACTGTTTCAGCCCTGGTCGGTATCCTTCGCCACAAGTCACAAGACAAAGCGAAAATCCTCCAAAACTTCTCAAGCTGTTACTTTTCATGAAATAAACGATCACTACACTAATGTGTGCTTTAGGACGGTATACAACTAAAAAGGCAACTAAATATTTATGTATGTTCACACAAAACCTTATTATACTTAGTATAGTATACATATATAATACAGTTCCTACCTATATTTTAAGACGACAGAATAAAAAAAATAGGTAACGAATAGTTTATTATTGTGTAATGAGAAGAAACTCAAAATATACTTTTACAAGAACTTTTAAGCCAATAATGTAGTTTTGTGAATAAAACAAAAAGAAAAGCTTTGTTAGCGAGCTTTTTGAAAGCTTTCAGGCTGTGCCTTGGAACCACTGACCAAGTTTCAAATTTACAAGTGAAGGTTTTACAACTCTTTGTTCGAAGTGGCGATAAGTTAGTTTTTAGGCACCGCCCTGGGGCACGCCAAACGCTTAGATTAAAATTTGATGAGTGTCTTGTGGTAAACTTGCGATAATACATAAAAAAAAACAAAATAAATCATTACTTAAATTACATTTTTCAGTAATGTTTTTGTACTACTTGTAGAATTTTTATATCCGTGATAATTCTTATTATAATAAATATGTATATTAAAGGTTAAATAGTTTTTAAATTGATAGTTTTACCTATCTAGATTACACTACCGAAACACTAAGAACGTCTTACACCAAAAGTGAACAGGCAAAAAAACGATTAAGGGCATCAACGGCTTGGCACGCATGAACGGACTACTTCTTTACACCGAACTGTCAATTTTCTTTTTTTCCTCGCGATATCAGCCTGAGCATCGAACATAACCAAATTAGTTCCGACACGAACACCCGTAGCCGATTGTCTACAATGAAATCGATACAAAACTTCCCCTTTCAATATTTTTTTCTTTTGTTTCAGGCTAAATAAGAAACTGGCAAAGGAATCACGCGAACGCTAAACAAAAAAAAAACTGGCCATCGACAAAAGAACAGTAGTAGCTATTTGGAATGTCGCGATTGATATTTGAATTTTGCTTATGCGTGTGAGAATTGGTCATTATGCGCCGGGAGTGAGCGCGGGGCGGACGTCCGGATGCACCCGACCGGCGCGGCCAGCCTGCCCGCCGCACCCGAAGCGGAGGTGCAAGCTATGCACTCGATGGATTGGCTCTTTAAGAAGGAAAGGATATATCTCCTAGCGCAATTCTGGCAACAGGTAATAATAACTATATGGAAATATGATCAAGATATAGTATATATTCGCACTCTCCCTCTCTAACTCGCAAAAACAAAAGAAAGAAGAGTATTAAATATGAAAGGAGATCCTATATTCTAAGAGCAAGCAGTTTAAAGCATTATCTTCAGTCGTTAGCCATAATAGCCCACAACCCATCTACATATTATGGCAATAACAAAAAGCAGTATACCCACAAAATCAATTAATAGTTACGCATTAGTACCGCAATTAACCTGTACCCGGGCATTATAACCGATTCGAGCCTCGAAACAATTATATCTATTGTTAGAACAACCGTTATGCAAATATCTGATTGACTCTGCCATGATATGTACCCTAGACGTATGCCTTAACTATAGAATAGTGGATACGCCTGACATAAATCATTTTCAGTATAATTAAACTAATTTATTGAGAAATTTTAATAACTATCGTATGTTCTAATAGATATTTATGAAAAACATTACACTTTCTTAGATTTACGTGAATATTTGACATTTTAAATAAAACGATCTTTTCGTATTTTTTCGCAGATTTATTTTGATTTTTGTTTTCAGACGTTTTGAATGCTTTACAGCAATCGTGGTCCCGGAAGAGACTCAGGTTTTAGACGTCTCAAATGGATTATATAGTTGTTACAGACTTATGTATGTCGTCAATTTATTCATACATATATTCGAGATTATATATACTTTATAATTTTCCTTCGTTTACTAATTAATTAAAAATACCGATGATTTCTAAATAATAAACTCAATGCCATTTCTAAATAATACACTCTGTGTATATAATAGATTCATAGATGAGTATCTCGCAGACCTCGATAAAGATGTACAGGATGTTGCGTAACAATGAATAAGAGGAACTGAGCGTTTTAATCGCTAAGAATGAATTTTTCAAGGTTCTATTCGAAGATAAGATTTACATTCACTTATATAAGCATTATACATGAAAATAGAGATTTGAGTGGAGTATAGCTAAAATTTTATGTTCGTGTATAAAACGATTGCTGTAGATTGTGTAGTTTTTACTGAAACGAAATTTTATAAAATGTTTTGTCTGTATATCATTATTTAATGTTATAAATGCAAAAATGTTGTTTTTATTAATTAGAGCTCTTTTGGTACGTTAAGTGGTTTTCGTGGAATATAAGTCTAGTAAAAGTGTACAGCCACTAGCAGTGATCTTATAACTGATCAAATCAACAGTATAAAATAAGTATAAAATTCTTGATGATGATTTCTTTCAGCAAAGACTAAAACAAAGTAATAAAGTAGCCGATCTTACCACGTACTTTTTAAAAATAACTATAAATTATGTGAACGTAGGTTATAATTATTCTATAAGCGTTAAAATTAAAAAATTAAAATCTATTACTGCAGTATATATATCCAATTCGTACAACGATTATTTCTATATAACAGCGTGTAGACCTTTGAGATCAATTAAACTGCATAACAGTTCTGATAATCGCTGATCTATGACCACCATTGATTTCAGATGTGCAATTACACCATTAAATACTGAACTCTAATAATTGCATTAAATTGCAATCTCTATATCTTTAAATGACATAAGTGCTACGTTCAGACTTAACAAATTTATTTTTGTATGTTAATACCTACGTTAATTGGTTCTAAGAAAGTAAAAGTATGTGCCTAAAAATTGTAGACCCTTAGTATATATATGTTATTTTTTAATAATCCAAACTTAAAATTATTATTATTACTTATTGAAAAATATTTTTTAGAGTATAAGGAAATACGTACTGTTTTTTTTATCTCTATTTTTTTTTCTATCTAAAGCTCGGCTTTGCGTTTGGAACCGTTGCCAATTATAATTGTTTTGCTCGCCCGAGATTGATCGGAAAATACCTATTAGACTAATGGTGCAATTAAGACAACTTTAGATTCTAGATTTATGTCTTGAATTTGCACTTAGCTTTCATTTAGGTTGTTGGAACTTGTTTATTGATTCTGTCTCATTATTTGGTATTTATTACCTACTTCCTTTATATTTTAAACACGAAAATGTTTGTATAACACACAATATATCTCATACAAATAAATTCATAGATTTGTATGGACATTATAGAAGTTCTGTCGGAAATCGAACCAGTAAACTAGGGTATAGAAAATGCTTATACTGAGTCGAAAAATAAAAATCATAACCAAGAATATGTATGAAGCTTTAATTCCAACTGTCAACGTTCGATTTGGACCCTATTCTACTATCATTCGAATATGAACAATGGCGTATTAAAACCATGCGAAATAAATATTCATCCGCGTTCAAGGAACCCGATGCGTCCTACTGATACACTGCATTTGAATGCTGGGAGATAGTATTGTTTTAGCAAACTAAGCCTTATATTGATTAAAAAGCATATTTAAATTTGAATTTACATATACCGTGCCTCGAATCGCACTTATCGATTACAAGGCAAGGACGTTTTGTTCTATTTGTTGCAAGAAGTGGTACGCGCAGTTTTGCATCATATAAGTAACGCCATCTTATGTCAGGAATAGTGTATTATATGTTATGGCATAATAAAAATCTATGGGAAAAGAAAAATATACTATAGTTTTCAAAAACCATGAGGATAAAACAGGATTAATATATCTGTGTATGTATGAGCTGCAATAGGTAGGAATTGCTGTGAGTCGGAATCGAACTCACGATCTTACTAACAAAACATATGAATTATTTTATATAAAAAAAATATAGGTAAGTTTGGTTTAACTTTGTAGTCGTCAACTCACTTTTATTTATACGTAGTGTACGCGTACTACTTTACATAACATTGTGGGTACTTAGAATTCTCGCGTTTAATAATTCGCAGTATCCATTAACGGATGATCGAAGACTTATTGATGAAATGGAAAAAGTTTCACTGAACTAAGATAACTATCTAATTAGGCAATGAGCATTAGCGATTTACAAATACTGTACGTGTAATAGAATAGATAAAAATAGTTATTTGTATGTTTGTCTGTTCTTAATAAATAATTAGGTATAATACCTATATAGTTTTAACTTCTTAATATATAACATTAACTTAGTGTCTAAAAATATTTTCATTTCTTTTATAAGTTTTATAAGTTCTAATTAAATATTAAATATATGTAAGTAGGTAGTAGTTATTGTAGCATCTTATTGATGAAAGATATCGTTAATCTATTGGTACATCTATACAGATAAATAAAATTGAAATGTCTGTTTGTAATATCAAATAACAGCTTTTTTCTATATACATATAAAATTATATAGGGTACTTATAAGAAAAACACAATTTTTTTAATTTTTGTCTGTTGGTCTGTTTGTTCCGGCTAATCTCCGAAACGGCTGGACTGATTTTGACGGGACTTTCATTGGCAGATAGCTGATATTATAAGAAGTGATAGGGTACTTTTGTTTTAGAAAAATAAACAGGGCCCCGTTAAAAAAGGTACCTAGGAACGCACCTGAGTGAAGCGAGGGTAAGTCGCTAGTCTATACTAATATAATAAAGAGGTAAAGTTTTTGAGTTTGTGACGTTGTAGGGGGTAATCTCTGGATCTACTAAACCGATTTAGATGAAATTTGGTAAGAAGATCCTGGTAATCATCCCTAAATTGGGTGAAAATGGGGATGAAAGTTTGTATCGAGTCGCTAGTTGTTAATAAAAGTACAAAAGATATTCATAATTGAAATTGTGTAAAGTTAATAGATATGAAAAATATCATACAAGCTATCTTGTAATAATGACATTTAAACAGCATCAAGCTCAACCAAGCCGACTATTTAAGTTTATTCCTCATTCGACATTACCTGTTCTTAATTTTTAACAATTTTTAATGTACTTGTAGAAAACCATTATTTAAGCCTATGCCCATAGTGTCAGTAAAAGCTAGGACGTATATTAATACAAGCTAATATTATAAAGAGGCAGAATTTGCTTGTTTGTTTGAACACTCAAATCTCAGGAACTACTAATTCGTTTGAAAAATTCTTTTTGCATTAGATAGCCCATTTATTGAGGAAGGCTATAACTTCATAATATAATATATCTATAATCTATCTATTCTACACTAATCGTTAAAACGTACCTAAGGGCGAAGCGAGGGCGAGTCGCTAGTAAATAAATATTTTCCTTCGTTTGTTTGTTAACTGTGTTTGCCATGAGCCTTAAATATCGTCTTGCAACTTTAACATTATCTATTACTTCAAATTAATTTAATCATCGAACCCATGATCTCTAGGACAGTCCTTCCGTTATGTTACCGACATTGCAAAAAGTCTTAATATATAATTATATTCCCAAAAGCATATCTATCCAGCATTAGACTATGTAAAATGTTAATATTTTAAAGTACAAAGCGCATAAATGAACAAGGAATAACCCCGTTCATTAATAAAACTAACAATTAACGTCTATAAACCGCGGTCGATCCTTCATTTATCGCTTTAATGCGCCTTAGCCAATGAGTTCGATCGTTTTATAATCTCCAATGTGTATTATTAATCGTATTGCCTTCAATTCTGGCTTCAGTTCAGTAGCAAATTTGAATTGTTTTTTTTTACTGGAAACATTAATATTTCTTTGTTAATTTTAGTTTTAGAGGTTAATTTATTCACTTTTAATGTTTATTTTTTTTCTAATACATATTAAGTTCTCTACATAATATTTTACTAAAAGAAAATTATGTAAAACTAATTTTAGTTTCTGTCCAATTCAAATTATTCAACTCTGGATTATGTGAAATAAGTAACATATATGCCATAAATGTAGTAATATAAATTAAAAAAAAAAACAAGATATATTTATACTTCGAAATCAATTTAAAAATAATGATTTAACTAAAATTAATTAGGAGTGGACATTTATAATCGACTCGATACATCAGTATCGGATCGCAGTTCGGTACAAATACCATCGGTTGTTCCCACAGCTTTGGTATGGAATGTGCACCATTCGAGAGGGTTTTGGACAAAAAGTC